GAACATGTTATATATGAAATTAGATTAGAAAAATATGTAAAATATGAATATGAGATTATTTTTACCTGTTAAATATTTTTAAATATTATTTTGAAATATATTTAAATCAAACAAATGATTTTCTAAATTATCCGTATCTTTTAAACCGTAACTTCGATTTTAACATATTATATATGAAATTTTATTAGAAAAATGTGTGGAATCTAAATATGATGTTAATTTTACCTGTTAAATATTTTTTAAATATTATTTTGAAAGCAAACTTATAATTTATAGCGCAAGATCCGTCTTTCTTTCGTACCGGCGGCGATCCGGATTGCAAATAAACACCCCACTATAACCATATAAGGAAAAGAAAATATCGATAACTACACATGCATACCTCTGAAAAATGTCGCAGGGGAAAACAACAGATTTATCATCGCGAGAGTGAGAGAGAGAGGGAGGAAAAAGGAAGAGAGAGATGTCTTAGAATTAACCATATTCAAACATGTTTTTTGTTGTTTTATGTGAACATCGAGGCCATCACCGACGAGGGTGAGAAGGAAGATAAGCGGCAACACAAATATGATGCCTCGCAAAAATAAAGGAGATGGACATATTGTGATCTTGAGTGATAGTTGTTGGGTTAAGAACGTATGTTATGTTTTCTTTCTCATTGCAACGCACGGGCTCGTTTGAGAAAAAGAAGAGGTATTGCAGGGTAATCCTCGACGTTGACTTGCGTTTGATCTGAAGGCTGGGGAGGTGATCGGTTGACCGGCGCCTAGCATAGCACAGGCCTTTACATTTTTGTGCACGCATAAAAGGAAGCAATTACCCGGTTAAGTTCACGATTCATGCATGCTCCGATGGTCCGATCTAGAGCACACTTGAGTGGATCGACGGGTGAGATATGTACTGCCGTGTGTGATGCATGCGCTTGCGTCCTCCTCGCTGACCCGATCAGAAGTCTCCATGCCGCACCGGCACCTACCGTGAGCGAGTCTATCTGAACGGGTGGACTTGCGGTGCCTTGTGTAGTGTCGTGCTTCCCCGGCATTAAAACGCACCAGCTTTTTTTTTTGAGGGGAATTAACTCGGCAGCTTTTTCTTTTTTTGAGGATGCCAGCTTTTTTTTAGCGTGTCGTCTATGGAAGTGGACGGTCCAAGACTTCTTTTTGGGGTCGCGCTAACTGCCACACGTGTGACAGGAAGGGAGACGCATCACACGTCTCTAATGTAAACAGATTGCCACGTCATCGCATGCATGCATGTAGGAATCTTTTAGGATTTTCAGTTTTAAAAATGTTTTATCTCTTAAACGAAAAATCCGATTAAAAACCCGTTTTCACCATTAAATCCCTCGCGATGAGATCTTCGAAACTAGATCCTATGTTGATATGTTTTGATGAAAAAAAATTTGGATTAAAAGTTGCCATATCTATTGCATATGAATTGACATGATGTTTACACTGAAATTGTCATGATATGTTTCAGCTATTTTCTTCTACATTTAAAAGTAAATTTTGACATTTATAAAACGGGGAATTAAGAAATTAGACTTGCCATGAACCATAAACTAAAATTGCCATGATACATGCACGCAAAATTCCATGGTTCATACAAAAAATAATTTTTATGGTCAAAGTACTGGAATTGTCATCATCAAAATACTAAAATTGCCATGATCTACAAACTAAAATTGCCACATGGCAACTTTAGTTTAAGCCCTATGGCAACTGTAGTGTAAACATCGTGGCAACTTCTGGCAAAAAAAAATTCGTCGAAACATATCAACATGGGGTCTAGTTTTGAAGATCTCATCGAGACGGATTTAATGGTGAAAACGGATTTTTAGTTCGCTTTTTTATTTAGGAGATACAACATTTTTAAGCCGAAAACCAAAAAAATTCTGCTAATATCATCTATTCATACGTGGCAAAATGAGTGGTGATGGAGGCGTGTGGGCGATGTGTAAACGCCCACACGTGTGGGCATTAACATTTCCGCTTTTTTTAGAACACAACGGTCCAAGATTCGGAAACACCATTCAAGCTGTTGTTTAGTGGTGTCCCAAAAAAATGATGTCGTTTAATGGGCCCATCGCTGGGACAGATGCATCTGCATGTTAAAACGGCTGCGGCCGTATCTGCCGAAATCTACTTCCTTCGTTGTGCACCGCGACCAAGACGAAGAGGAAAACGAGAAAACTTATGTCCTTTTCTAATTATATAATAGTATTGCATGCAATGAACTAACCACTGCATGTCATGTTTGGTAGTCTCAAGTCATTGAAAGCATGCACGGCCCACATCTTTTATTGATTGATATGTCACAAAACAATAAACGAGGAGGGAGTTAATATACCGTGCCTAAGTGTTTTGAAATTATTTGATTTTCGTAAGGTGACTTACACACCTAGACGGAGGGAATAACTAAAGAATACTCTTTGCAAAACTCACTCCCATTATATTGCAATCTGTTAGTTTTTTTCCATATATCTATTTATTCAAAACATTTTATCTTTAAAATGTGCGTCCAAATCTTGAATCATTTTCACCATTTGATTACTCGCATAGAGATCTTCAAAACTAGATTCCATATTGATAGGTTTTGACAAACTTTTATTTTTAAGAAAAAACCGAACAAAAGCAGACAAAAAAACAAACTGGGAGCATGTTTTTTTTTCATTTCCAAAAAAGGCATGACCGTGCCTCTTCGTGAAAACACAACCATGCCTCTCGCGGAAGCAAAACCATACCTCTCACGGAAGGAAAAATATATATCAAAAAATGCGTTTTATTTTCGTTTTCGAGAGGCATAGTCATACCTCTTTGTGAAAACACAATCGTGCCTGTCGCGGAAGCAAAATCATGCCTCTCACGGAAAGAAAAAAAAAATCAAAAAACGCATTTTATTTTCGTTTCCGAAAGGCACGACCGTGCCTCTCACGAAAGCACAATCGTGCCTCTCGCGGAAGCAAAATCGTGACTCTCATGAAAGAAAAAAAACAAAAACATATTTGTTTTCTCCGTTTCCAAGAGGCACGGTTGAGGAAGAAAAAAAACAGAAAACACGTTTTTTTCTTTTACGAGAGGCACAGCCGTGCCTCTGATGAAAGCACAACCGTGCCTCTTCCGGCGGAAAAAAACGGAAAACACGTTTTATTTGCGTTTCTGAGAGGCACGGACGTGCCTCTCACAAAAGCACAACTGTGCCTCTCGCGGAAGAAAAAAATTGCCTTTTTTCGTTTCGGAGAGGCATGATCGTGTCTCTCGTCAAAGTAAAACCGTACCTCTCGCGAAAGCAAAAGCATCCCTCTCGCGAAAGAAAGAAAACGTGTTTTTCACGCAAAATATATTTTTATTTTTTTGGGTCCAAAAGCTAAGAAAGACCGGTGGAAAACCAAAAAGTCTAGAAAAATCGAAAAAACCCATTTAAAAAGCTGAAAACGCGTGCAAAAAAATAAAAAATATCTGGAGGGCGCGCCTAGAGCACGACACGTGGCGATTTAACGCTCTCAGCCCACTCGCAAGTGATCGGTGGGAGGCTCCCGAAGGAGCGCTCGCCAACTAGTTGCTCTCCGTATTTGCGGGTTAAATCGCCTCAAAAATAAATCTTTGGGTTAAAATCCCCACACAAAAAATGTGGGTTAAAATTGTTGCAGTATTGGAGTGCGTCTTGCAGTTTCGGTCTTTCAGTTTCAGCCGTGTTCTAATGCTCCGAAGAACACTCCTCAAACCTAAATTGATTTAGATACTAGAGTGGTTTCATACTTGGATCATGATGAACAAATGTAGTTCCGTTAGGAAATTAACAGGCGAGCGGATTACTCCCTCAGTTTCGACCCAACACTAAAAGTAGCAGGTGCCCAATTCATCGAAACTATTGCAAAGCCAGAGTTAAATGGCATTTGGAAAGCAAAAGTGGAGGCAAAAAAAATCAAATTCTTTGCTTGGCTGCTAGCTCAAAATAGAGAGGATGTGAAGCTCTTCTTCAAAATCTGAGCTGCCATGTCCTCGCCGCTTCGGTCGACTTATTGGCCCTTGTGGTCAGGTCGTCGTGTGTGCCCCGTGTGGGGTTGTATTTAGGTTTTCGCCCAATTTTCCTTCAATTAACCAGTCAACTTTCTTCTTCTTAATCAATGAAAATAACAAAAAAGTTGCCTCGTTTAAAAAAACTAGAGAGGATGTGAATACAACGACACCTGCTCCCTCTGCGATCAAAGGATTGACACTGCGCTCATCTGAACTGTTCCTGCCCATTTGCAAAGGAAGTATGGCAGAAGATCATCATCATGCTCCCTAACAGGCCTTTAGCTTTGTAATTCATTTCCTTCTCTCTTTTTGTTTGCCCTAGGGCTTCAGACTTCTCTCTTGTAAATTCCTAATCTATAATGAAAAGGCAGAGCACCCGACATTAGCCCTAAAAAGACACTAAAAGTAGCGAATGGCGAATCTTCTCAAAACCTTGAGGTGTTAACGGGACCGGTGGGTGGTTGCGATTATCAGGACGATACTGGTCAAGAGTTTTCCCGTGAACTTACGGTGGTACAGGTGGGTTTTCGAGCTAGCCACGCCAGTCTGAACATGCATGATGGGCGCTTCTCACCGCGGCTGCCTGGAACTTCCAACTACAAGATTTATAAGACATTTTCGTCTGTAACTCTGAACTTGACAGTGGAGTTCCTTTATCCTCAATGTTCAGACTGAATTCCAGTTAGTTCACCTCAATGTTCATACTGAATTCCACTTAGTTCAGTCTGCCGGAACGGCCAGGGCGCCAACCATCAGGAGACAGGAGGCAACAGATGCACCAGTAATCATCTACTAGTATTATACTATTATCACTTACTGAAACAACACCAAGCATAACTCTGAGACACTGGCGGTAGATAGCTTTGACCATCTCTGGTAATATAACTCTGAGACACCAGCTCCTTGCTGTCCAAAGAATGAGCACTAGTTACACTTACACATGACATGAGAGTCAAGCCTCAGAAAGGATAGCAAAAGAAATCATTGACCGGGCAATCTTTTAGCTCTGTATCTCCTCTTGAAAACGTCCTCCCTAAACAGCTTGGTTTCAGCCATCAGGTCCAGGGCAGGCTTCTGCTGGATGATCTCCTTCTCGCTCTCCAGCAACCGCTTCCGCTTAGCCAGCGCTTGGATCGCCTCCTGCTTCTCCTTCTCCTTCTCCTTCTCCTTCTCCCTCTCCTTCTCCCTCTGCCTGCGAGTCTCCTTCTGCACAACATCTCCATCTGTGTCGTCCATCACAAACTGTAACAATGGACACAAAAAAAGAATGTGTTGTGTTGGTGTCAACAGGTCGGCACTACATGATCCACTGCTGCAGACTACAGCCAAATGTTGCACGGCTATGTTTACGAACAGAGATGAATGATCAAGCAGAGAGGGAGAGAGGGTGCTGCCAGATTTACCTCCAGATCACTAATCAGTGAATCGAGGGACTTGATCTTCCTGTGAGGCCAGCGGGGTATCCCGTATTGCCTGCATTTCTGCTTCAGTATGCTGACTCCGATCTTCAGAGCCCTGGATGCTTCTCTGATTGGAAGATGGAAGTACGGGGCTATGTCAGCTAGAGTGATGCTAGCTATGTGCTGCTTCTTGGCTCTCCGGCGTCTCTCAACATGTGCTGGAAGTTCTGCATCCGACATATGTAGATTGGGATCAGCATACTGAAGACGAAATGAAAAACATCACAGCGATGAAGACAAATGAAACAACACAGGCAGAATAGGACTTCAGATTTCAGAAGGTACGATACTTTTCAAAATTATTGAAATTGTCCATATATATGAGTATTTAAGTTCTTGGCAGGGAGAGCACGAAGTAGTAAGCAACAGAGAACAGACACACAAGAAGTTCCATGAGAAGCAACTGCAAGTCATTCCCTTGAATCATTTTTAGTTGCGGTTATTCAGATGCCAAGAGTCCATCTAATAGCTCAAATATGATTCCAAAATCTGCATGAGATCAACAATTGCCTTAAAAAGTAATATCACAAACAAATAAGTTTCATTTTGTACTTGCTTCACCTCATTTTTAACTTCCTATTTGGTACCAGCAGGATATTTAGACTAAGTTGCAAGCAAGGTATTTGCAGTTTGAAACTTCTGCAAACAAGAAGGTAGGGTTTCAAAGTTGATGCAAAATAGTCGTGTGAAATTTGAAATAGATATGTCCCAATAACATAAACTGAGTTTAATACAGTATTATGTATGACAACATAAGTAAAATTGGTGTCCAAAAAGATCCCATATAAAGGAATCAGTTTGTACACAGTATACACCATGAACTTGTTAAGGCTAGCTATAACCATCTTATCAAATTTATCTAACTGTTATGCATCTGTCACCCTGAAAAAAAAAATCTGAACATGTGGTATATCCACATAATACTAATCAATTAGCAGATGGCCCATTGTTATTCAGGAACGGAGCTATGTAGCTAGCAATGGTCATGCTAGGTGCATACTAGGATGCATTGGTCTTAAACAATATTCATATTCCTGACTCCCACACCCAAAGCTCTGTTTCAACATCCACACTTTCAACCAACTCATTCTCCTTTGTCAGTATGTAAAGACCAGTCTCTCAGTTTGCCTTGGCCGCACACCCAAACCCCTGATTCAACATCCACCTCACACTAACGACAGTGAGAACAACACTAGTGACAGCATCTACAGTTGTTAGATTTTGCAGGTGAGAATATGGAGGAGACGCAATCACCTTCACCAGATTGGGGATCCTCATCAGAATCAGACCCTGACTCTTCTTTAACTTCGACATCAGAAGTTTTATCATCTGCTTCCAAACGGGTCGATTTCTCATCCGAATCACGTTTGACGAGCTCCGGGGCCTGTTGAAATTTCTGAAACTGATACACCATGTACAGGTCGTTGTACAGCGAAGGCACGCACACCAGCCCCGGGTTCCTGATGACAAGACAGACAAGAAACGACGCTGTCAGCCCTCAATTCGCAATCAGCCAGCGAGTTGTCACGGGAAGAATCGTGTGTACTACTACCGGAAGGGGCAGAGCATCGGGGGAGGCGTGGGCGGCAGCGGCACGGCGGCGATGGAATCGAAGGCCAGGACGCAGCGCCAGGCGCCCAGCACCTGGCCCTCGCGGTACGCCGGGCGGCCGCGCCACTCGACCGGGAGTATCCGCGGCGCGGCGGCGGGGAGCGGGACCTCGCGGCAGGAGGTGGGGGAGAAGGCGAACTCCCGCTCCACCCACCGGTCCCACGCGCACCTCCCTCCCATCGCGACGACCCTGTACCCGTGCACGCTCCGCACGGCGCCTGCGAAGGAAAAAAAAAAGCCGTACGTCACACACAAAAACGCCGTGCGACGCGAGCGGGAGGAGAACGATCGAGGGGCCGACCTTGGTGGAGCGTGCTGGCGAAGACGGCGAGCGCGGAGAGGGTGGTGACGGCGGCGGCGGCGGCGTCCATGGAAGCAATCTGGCCTCCGGGGCGGGGGAGGGGGGGAGAGCCGAGATTGGTTGGGTGGGAAACTGGAGGGGGGCGGCGCGCACCGGCGGGAGCGGGGTGAATGAAGCGGGCGGCGACAAGGAGGAAGGTGGGCTGGCCTGCCGCCGCGTGATGCTGCTGCGATTCAAACAACGATTGTAGCTGGGCGTTCGTCCGGCTCGATCGAATTCATTTTTGGAAGCTTGCAGTGCGCGCACTCCGCCAGATGCAGCCAGCCGCAGCGCGTAAAAGGCTTCCGTTTCCGGAGCTGCAGCGGCGTGGGTTCCAGCGTTATCCCTGTTGTCATGCGCGCTCCTTTCCGTGCACCGCCGTTTCCAGTGGAATTCACGGTGCCAGCGGGCACCACCTCGCGTTGATCAGCTCCCCGTGTTGTTGCTGCCACGGCACGGCCAAGTCCAGGGTTGCCGGTGTGTGAAAAGAGGGCCGGCCTCCTGTCCTGCTTCTCCAATGCTTGCTGGTCTCATACGGAGAACCCGCATCTCACTCGCCTGCGCGGTCAGTTTCTAGTACCGTATCACTCGAAAAGGTGTGTGAGACATGCAAGAGATGACCCGGGCGTACGCAGAAGTATCGCGCTACAGGTGCGCGAACCGTTTCGAAATTTGTTTACGGAGGTGCCCTGCACACGATTGCTAACGTACGATTTGTGCCCGACGGGATGACAAGCCACACAGACTAGGTAATCGAATGGTGTAGGAACGTTGTCGTGGGTGGATCGTGCGTGGAGTCATCGTGTGCATAGCAGTGTTCATTTATTTACCAACTGTTTGACGCTCCTAACTGACATCTCCGTGTAAATTTCAGCATCTCCCTTCTTAGGTGGTCAAATCTTTAAAAAAAAATCACAACACTTGCAGTATTTTTTATCCGTGGGACCGTGTCAGCGTCCCTGGCAAACGCAGCCTACCATCCAGTGGCCGCGAACCACCGACCCCATGACCAAGTCGTCACCATCAACAAAATCGAAAGCACCAAGGGCCCAAGCGGGTTTGCGTAGCCAGCTCACCTACGTTGTCGCTTATACACTACATCACGGAAAGGAGGGCGTCTAGCGGACCATGGCTTTGGCACCTGCGCCTTTTATTCATCCATATCTCGTGTTCTTCCTTGCGATTAAGACCTTATTTCCCAAGCTATATCCATCAGTGAGATCGTTCTATCGAGGACCTACATCTGTATCTTAACATCCTATCAGAAATCACACACCACCCTCTACTGGCTCACTTTGTATAGGCTCGCCGTCTTCGCCAAGTCCACAACCAGATCAAAGCCATTGAACCCTCGTCCAAGGAGTACCTCGAGAAGCTCAACACATCCCTCGACGAGATGCGCACCAATCAGCGTTCCAACACGAATCTCGTCAAGAGTCGGTCCTCCAAGATCGACGACTTGGTGGCATGATGCCTCAATCTCGAGAAGCGTGTGGCGGACCTCCGCATGGTGGCGGCCACACTCCACCAAGGGCGCTCGACATCTACAACAACTTCATCAGGTGAGGAGGTGAGGGTTGATGTCGTCACGCCCCCACAGTCGAGACTCTCGAGTCCTCTTCGACACCGGCCACAACGTGCCCATGGCTCCCTGCTCTATGGACCAAGACGTTGCACATCTACCAGGGGGTGGCTTTGGTGTCCTTGCTTACATCGATGCTGCTCGGGCCAAAGGTTAGTTCGTTCCCTCGCCCTCAACTCATATTCTTTCAACCTTCACGCACATGAGTCTGTTACTTGATGGAATTAGGCAGGCACATCCTCCATTGCTTTTGTCAATACTCACGAAAATCTACGTCTCTGGCAGACTCTTTGCGAGTAGTAATATCAGATGTTTGCTATTCAGGAAGCGTTGTGGATGCATATGGGTCCCCGAGATTTTTCTTGCGTTGCTTATATTTCGTTGCAATATGCGGGAAAAACTTAGCTAGATTTGGTTGGGCATCATTTTAATCTTCTTATGTGCACCCGATTTTGGCATCAACTATGTGCGGACATCTGAGCAGTCATGAGAGTGCAACGCCTTCAGAATTGGACACGGTGTGCTCTCTTGCATTACTTCAGAAAGAACTGGGGGTCACGCCTTCACCAACCTTCCTCAATAGGCAGGCACACAACCACAGACGTGCAGTGGGCGTGTCGATCCCACTGCATCTTCCACGGGCTCGCTCATGTCCCTTGCGGTTACAGTCAATCGCCATGGTGTGGACGCGCCCCTTGCCGACTCCTCCAACCTCAAGGTGCTCTAGGATTGTCACCATGTGGGATGAGTGGTGAGGCCACAACTACGTCTGCCCCTGAAAGGATTGAGAAGTCGGCTAGAGGGAGTGATAGGAGACTGTAGATTTTAAGCTTATCTTCCAATTTAGGTAATGTAGATAAAGTAGATTCTCTAGATATGCAACTAGGTGAGTACAACCTATATGGCAAGGAAGAACAAAACAAGGTATGCTAGGCAAAAAAACTAGATAGCAAGCTAACAAACATGCAAAGCAAGTAAAAGTGCAGCGAAGGATTATCCACAAGTGAAGCGAGGATGTGGATTTTACCAGTCATTTGCCTTAACATGGTAGTATTTGGAATTTGTGTCTCCTTCGAACAATTCCTTTTCATGAGATCTTTGCAGCCACTTTATTCCTTCTTATTTAAGAATAATTCTCAAAACATTTGGACAGTTCTGTTTATGAAGTCTGCAAGTAGAATTTAAACAACTAATCTCTTCTAATTTATCTGGCATATCAATTTCCTCAATAAGATTTCTTATGTCTCCTATAGACAACTTCAACATTCCAGTTCCATCCTTTTAGAACCTTCCTAAGAGCTCTAGATCTAACATGCCATTTCTCTATTAAGGAAGAACCAGGGTAATGTTTATACCACACTTTCCTCACCACATCATCCAAGGCGGGCCTCTGAAACCAAACGTTTTCAAATTTGAAAACATATTGTTTTTTCTGTAAGTTTCCCTGATGATATGAGGAGAGTAGTGTGGTCAAGCAACTCCCCAGTCAGAGCATTGACATGAACTAGATTGGATTTCCCCTCCCATGATGGAGAAATCACACCTTGTCCAATAATGCATAAGTGGGGTTCTCATGATTATTAGATCAGGTGTACTTTCTACCAACTAAACATAATTCCATCATTTCCGCTAAGGGGATTATTAAATTGAAAAGAACACTCCATTTTATTATAACCTCCAAGCTTCTTTGTATCACCAGATTTCATTATCATGTTAAAGTCACCAGCAATTAATAAAGGTCTATTGGAGTTTTTTTAGCAAATGCAGCAGGTCAACCAAAAAAACTGATTTCCCAATTGGTTGGGCATCACCATAAACAATGACCAGACCCCAACAAAAACCATCTACAACATTTTAAACAATCAACTTAACATAATATCCCCAAATCCATGATTATCCTTAACTAGAATGTTGTTACTAATTCCCACCAAAATACCACCAGATCTACCTCTGGAGGTAGAAAAGTCCAATCAAAGTTGTCTTGACCACTTAAAACCAATAACTCCAGTGGTTAAAATTATTGTTTCATGGTTTCTTGTATACCCACAAAATCCTGACTATCCAATTTAATTTGTTCCTTATTAAATTTTCTTTTCTCAGCATCTCCAGTCTCCCTACAATTCCAAACAAGCCCTCTTGGCATTATTACTTACAAAAAAATTGATCACTAGGATTTCTTTTTCCTCTTCCTTCGCAACATAGTTTTTTGCAACATCCTCAAAGTGAGAGATGTTTGCATTCACTCCACCCCCTCTAAAACCAGACATGTCTTGCCAAAGACATGACCCTGTCTAGAATAGGTATATCATCTTGATTTTTGGATGCAATCATGCCACTAAGCCTTTTCCCCTAATCTCCTCGGTTTTATTGTTATCCCCTTGTTTGCTGACCATCTCTATTTGTTTTACATCTTGTTGAATTCCCAACTTAGCCCCCAAGCTCATAGATTGGGAACCTTCTCCTTCTGGATCTGATAAGATATTTGGACTTTTTCAGCATCCACATACCTGAATTTTCACCTCCATTTACAGAAACAGAGTCAGAAACAGGATTCTTCTCAGTATTTTTGACAACAATAGTTTTTTGATCGGTACAAAAGAAGATCAACCTCATCTTGTTCTTTTAAGTCAGTAGCCCTTTGCTCCAAGGCCATTTTGGTTCTTGTACTTGCACAAATGTGGCTTGACACCACTTCATCATTACTAGTTTTAGCTCTTTTTGAGTCTCTGCTAGACTCCTCGTTATGCTGGAAATCCACCCAATCTTCATATCCTTGTGACCGCCCATCTTCACTTTTAGACCATCCCTCATCCAAAACCATCTCCAGTTTCAAAGAAAATTTTGTAAACCATGAGACTTGGAGTAGTGAGCTTGGTCCATCTTGGAATTTTGTGATGGTCCACTACAACAACCTTAAGTCTGACCGGACATGATCCCTGCAAGGTATCCACCTCTTGAGTAAACCATTCTTAGATAACCTGCCAACAACCAAAGAGTCATCATTCTACAACTTAACATTAATAATGGCATTTCCTCCTTTCAAAGGCACCCAATCATAAACACCGACTTCACTTATTCTGACAGCAGAAGGAAAATTGACTAAAAAGGCCACATCATATACTATTTTTGCCTTCCAATCGAATCTCCAGAGATAGGTCTTAGCCAGGCTCTTGATAAGCATATCAACATCTATACCAAGATCACACCCACCCCTTAGCCTAACCAAGACAACTGCCTCATTTTTCTCTGATGCACCCAATCCCTATGCATGTACTGCCACAAAGCAACCAAGCCCTTCACCTCCAAATCCAACAAGTGTAGGTACATGTTTCCTTTGATGTAACCAGACACAGAAATCATGTATATGAGTTTCCTTATTGCAAACCACGCACTTCACTTTTGCTTCATAGCCTTTGGAACTATGCCCCTTAACACCACATCTATGACAG